AATTCAGGAATACAAAAGATATGGCAAGAAGATTGGTTTTAGACAGGAAATCCACTTAATTATCTCTTTTAATAAGTAAGTGGTGAGTGGTCTATTTATCACAAAGAATACAAATGTTATAAAGCTAGATAATGTAAAAATAATAGCATGATTCGTACGAATCCTGGGTAAGAGAGAGGAAACAGGGTAAATTGGGAGGAAGTAGAGGACTTCTAATTTCTGTATTTTTCTTACCAGAAATTGAAATCATACAGTTTGAATGTTAGAACTTGTTAAAAATATAATGACTTCAATTTTATTGTTCATCCTTGTTTTCCTTTACAGAGGTCTTTGAGAAACTATATTCTCTGGGGAAAATCGGGCACTGTAGCACTGTCCTCCCGTTGTTCATCGATTTGCTCGGGTGGGCACCAGTAACATCTCACAACAAATTGTGAGACTTGCTATTACTGTTTTTAGCATATTGAATATGTCACAGGTAGCTTGCCAGGCTTTGCTGTGCAGGCGAGATACTCTCGGTAGCTTGCCGGGCTCTCCAAGAGGGGTGGAGGAATAGAACCCTGGTTGGCTGTGTGCAAGGAAAACGCCTTACCCACTGTGAATGTGAATAGATGATTCCTAATTTTACTTTAGTTTTTTTCCCTTAAAATTTTATTTGTGTTGGTTTTTAAAGTGAACCTGATTATATTTGGTTAAAATCTGCTCTCTATTGTAGTAGAGAGAGTACAGGATTTAAGGCTCTTGTCTTGGGCACAGCCACGCCTGTTTCAATCCTTGGTGCCACATATGAACATCCTCATAAACACCCCTGAGAACAAAGTCAGGAGTAAGCCCTGGGTACTGCTGGTTGTGGGCCAACCTCCCCATCCCAAATTAGACTTCTCTCTATATGCTTTCATCTGTTTAAAGGGTTACATAGACATGTGAAATGATGATGATGAATACCAAAAAATAAATAAATAAATAAAATCTGAGGGTCAGAGACATAGTCCAAAGGATTGTACTTCAAATGTGGGTTTGATCCCAGCGACATCTGGTCTTCTATATGTGGTCCTGAAAAAAAATAAAGCAGAGGCTGGAGCTATAGCACAATGGGGTGGGTGATTGCTCTGCACATTGTCGACTCAGATTCAATACCTGACAGCCCATAGGGCCCTTTGAACCCCACCAGGAGTAAACCTGAGCACAGAGCCAGGAGTAATCCCTGAGCACAGAGCCAGGAGTAATCCCTGAGCACAGAGCCAGGAGTAATCCCTGAGCACAGAGACAGAAGTAAGCCCTGATCACAGAGCCTGAGCACTAATGGGGATGGACCAAAAAACAAATAATAATAATAAAAAAATAAAAACAAAAGCAAGACAATTGTAAAGCTTTTTACTAGATTTTTGATGATTTATTTCAGTTATAAAATTAATTTTTATTAAACACTATGCTTTACAAAGTTGTTCATTATACAGTTGTCTCAAACATTTTGTGTTCCAACACCACCAGTGTGACATTTCCTCCTCCTGTATCCCCAGTTTTTCTCCCAATCCCAACCTGCCTCTTCAAGCTCATAACAAACTTACTTTATATTGCTTATTCCAACAAAACTTTAAGAAATGACAAATAGAATGATCAGAAAATAAATCAGTAAGAGTCAATTTGTGATTACTATATGAGTTTGGCTTATGTAAATAAGAAAATTTAAACCATTTAATATAATCTAATTAAAATGCCTATTCTCATTTACATATGTAAGTTTTCAACACTGGTATCTAAAGTATATTAAATTAAATTTTATTTTATACTTGGACCTTGTTATGGTAATAATCATGTCATTAATAAAAATTTTAAAGCAATTCTATATTAATATACAGGAGTTTACATGGAATAGATAAAGCCTACATATGTAAAATTTCCCCCCTACACTTTATATAAACACTGTGGTTTACAAAGTTGTTCATGATGATTTGTTACAGGCATTCAAAATTCCAACACCAATCCCACCACCATGACACCTTCCCTCCACCATTATCTCCAATTTTCCCAACTGCCCCTTAAGCCTACCTCCACAATAGGCTCTCAATAATTTAATTTATATTGATTTTTATTAATAATTTTGCTAACAGAATGATCAAAAAGTGTTTCCTTAGAAGAAAATTAGTGTAAATTGTTTATCCCATCATGAAGGCCTTGTATGCGAGATTATTAAGATGTTGTTACAGGTCATGCCTTCTGTGTTTTTGTTTCATTACTTGAGATTGGCTGCCTTGTACATTACAGCTCATCCAATCTGGTGTGCTACTATCGGTCTATTAGTGTTGTAGAGATTGAGATGTGGCCTGCTGCAGATGGGGTGTGGGCATGCCTGGTGCTTTGGAAGTACTGGGAAGTGGGGAGAGGTAGCCCATCCCAACTCTGAGAAAAGCCTGGAGATTTCAGTCACAAAACCCACATGCCTGATTTTTTCAGCGGATTAATTTCTGGGTAAGGCTTGGTCCAGAGACAGTGGAATTGACCAGGGGCGTGGCAGTGATTTTGGACTGTGGGAGCAAGGGGTTGCCGGGGCTCTGTTTAGGCAGGTGCGGGGCTGACCTGCTCCCCTCCAGGGTACCCTGAACATCTCAGCCTTTCTCAAGCTTCCAGAGAAATTTTTTCCAGTTTTTTGATCTTTCGAGACTTTTTAAATGAGTCTTGGAACAAAGCTGGTAGACAAGCTTTCATGGCAGTGGTGCTGGAGATCTGGTTTTTGTTTTGTTGCTTTTGGGCCACATGTGGCTATGCTCAAGGATCACTCCTGACAGTGCCCAGGGGACCACATGCAGTGCCAGGGATGAAGCCCGTTGTAGGCTACATGCAGTGTCAGTGTCTGTAGCTAGGGAACCTGGGAACAGTGTCGGAGGGCTCAGGTCACCTGTACAGCCGGAAAGGGAAGACTTTTCTCTTTATGGCTAACTCAAATAACACCCTGCTAATGCCTGATTTTATTCCCCCACTGGAATGTGGCAGTCTGTGCCAAGTCTCACTCATGTGTACCTGCTGCATGCCTGACACTGTCATAGGCTCTGGAGAGCCATGAGTGAGAGTCTCCCCTTTGGAAGCTCTGATCTGGCAGTGGTTATGGGAAAGAGGGGCTGAGACAGTGTACAAGTAATGCTTGTGGATTTGTTTTGTTCTGTTTCACCTGCTTTTGCTTTTTGGATGACACCTGGCAGTGTTCAGGGGTTGATCCTGGATTTATGCTCAGAGATTACTTTTTGCAGTGCTCAGGGAACCATATGCCATGCCGGGGATCGATCTCGGGTCAGTTGGGTGCAAGGCAAGGACCCTACCCGCTGTACTACCTCTCCAGCTCCACAAAGAGCAATGTGATAGGCGGGAACTGGAAAAGTGTGCTGAGAGGGAGATTAGGGGTAACTCTGTTTTGAGACGACAGCACCATGTTCTGTAGGAAGGCATCATTTGAGCAAACATCTGGTCGACAAGAAAGCTGGAGGCTGGAAAACTTTCTAGACCAAGGAAGCAGAAAATGGACAGGCTCTGAAGCAGGGCTGGTTTTATTCTGTCTGGCCCAGGGCGAAAGTGAGCATGGCTGAAGCCCATGCCAGCAGAAGGGGTTCAGGGAGAGAGAACACCTGAGAGTCAGGCAGAGATCAGGGAGGGATGGGGGTCCCCCTTTTATTGACTTTTCTTTTGTTCACTGTAACAACTTACTGTAAGTCACAGTAAGGGAGTGTAGTCCGGGATCCTTCCAAATGATGGAGACAGAATTCCAGGCCTGGCAAAATGATTCTAGGGATAACAGTTTATTAAAAGTAATATTGTAATTTGTTTTGTGGGCTATAGGTCTTAAATCATCATCTTTCCTGCCTGTGTGTTTTGTTTGCATTTTTCATATAACCGGCTTGATGTTCATAGATGAGAACATTTCTCTACGACGACTGTGGCTTGAGGACGCCAGTGGAGAGTTTAGGGACTAGGAAACACTCCATAGGAGGTCCCCTTGGATGGCACCACGGAGAGTGGATGACACTGGGCTGCTCCAACAATAATAATGCAGACTAGCCGCCTGCGAACTCGGCCTGCAGTTGGCCTGCAGGCCTAGATCCCAGGCGGCTGGGGGAGGGGCGCAACGGCTCCGGGGGGCGTGGCGTGGCGGCCCCCGGGCGGAGCTATGCCGAGGGGCGGGGCGCTCTGGGGCGGGGCTTCTCTAGGAGGCGGGGCGGGTCAGGGGGCCGGGCTATATTCGAGGGGCGGTGCCGGGGCGGGGCTATACCGGAAGCGGCTCAGCTCCGAGGGCGGGACTACGTCTGAGGGGCGGGGCCGGGGAGCGGGGTCGCCCTAGGAGCGGCACAGTTCCGGGGGTTGGCTATACCTGGGGGCGGGGAGGGGGCGGGGCCGTATCGGAAGCGGCACCGCTCCAGGGGCGGGGCTACCCCTGGGGGCGGAACATGGCGGCGGAGCTGCCCGGGCCGCGGAGCGGCTCCGGGGCGGGGCCTCGCCTGGGGGCGGGGCCGGGGCGGCGATATACTTGGGGGCGGGGCCGAGCGGCGGGGTGGCACTGGCCGCGGCGCGGCGCCGAGGCGGGGCCTCGCCTGGGGGCGGGGCCGGGGCGGCGATACACTTGGGGGCGGGGCCGAGCGGCGGGGTGGCACTGGCCGCGGCGCGGCGCCGAGGCGGGGCCTCGCCTGGGGGCGGGCCCAGGGCGGGGCTACATCTGGGGGCGGGGCCGGGCGGCGGGGCGGCACTGGCCGCGGCGCGGCGCCGGGGCGGTTCCAGGGCGGGGCCTCGCTCGGGGGCGGTTCCAGGGGCGGGGCTTCGCGGGGCGGGGCGAGCGCCTGAGCGGCCGGGCGGGCAGCGGTGGCCCCAGTAGTGTCCCCTCCGCCGGCCGCGCGGTTTCTGGGTACGTGAGGAGGCCCGGTCCGGCCGGGAGCGGCGCCGACACCCTGGAGCAGTCCCCGCCGCCGCCGCCCTCGCGGGCGCAGGCGTCGCCGGGCCCGGCGAGATCGGGGCCCGGCGCCAACCGCCGCCTGGGCAACGTCCGCGGCGCGCCCTTGTCGCCCCCGGGCCGCCGGCCCCGCGTGTCGGCCGCCGGGAGCCCCGAGCGCCGGGAGGAGCTGCGGCGCCGCCTCGTGAGCCTCATCGAGGGCAACCGGGTGATGATCTTCGGCAAAAGTTACTGCCCGCACTGCACGCGGGTAGGCGGGGCCGGGGACGGCGCGAGGGACGGCGCGGGGGACAACGCGAGGGGCTCCGGGACGGAGCGGAGCGCCGGGGACTGGCGCGTGGGGGCGTGGGGGGCAGCGCGGGGGTCGCGGGGGACAGCGCGAGGGGCGCCGGGGACGGGGCGGGGTGCGCGAGGAGGAACAGCGCGGGGGGCGCGGGCTCAGCCTCCCTCCCGCAGCGCCGCGGGCTGGGTTTGGGGGCGTCCGTGTCGGTCCCTACCGCGGGCGCGAGCCGGAGGTCTAAGGAGAGCGCGGCGGCCCGGGTCCTGGCGGGATGACAAGTGTCCACGCACTGTCCCCCCAGCTGCCTAGACTCTTGCCCACTTGCTTTTGGGACCCTGGTGCGGGGTTGAATTCTCTCTCCCCTGCGGTTCCCTTGGTGTTGCCTGATTTTGTCAATTTTAACAGGGAAGAAGAAAGATCTTTTGTTTTTTATTATTAGTTAATTATTATTATTATCGTCATCACCTTCATTTTCGGCTTGGAGGCCACACCCGGCTATGCTTGGACCATATCCTCCTTCCTCTCTGTTTAGTGGTCACTCCTGGCAGTGCTCCTCAGACCGTATGGGATGCTGGGAATTGAGCCCCAGCCAGCCACGTGGGAGCAGCTTTACCTGCTGTTCTCCTGTCTCCAGCTCCACGTTGTTCATTTTTATTTATTTATTTATTAATGTTTTGTCCTGATGAGAATGATAAGAGGACAGATTCCGACAGGCTCTGACTGGAACCAAATGCCACTTCCTACCAGCTGACCTTATCCAAGTCACCAACCTCTTCCTGGTCCAGGTTTCAAGTCTTATAAGATGGTTGGGAGGATTATGTGGGGTGATCTGGGGCATTTTGCTTGCCTCACACACGCCCTTTGGAAGGCGAGCTAGGAGTGCCACATTACTTCCGTGGGCACATGCTTCAGAGCTTTATACTAACCCATTTAGAAATAATTTGTTGGGAAATCAATTTATCCATGTCAAATTGTTGACAATAATTTGATTATTTGATATTATGTATTTTGATATTATTTGATAATGATATGATTAATTTGATATTATTATAATTTGATAATAAGATGGGTCCTTCTGGTATTTTGTACTTGACGTCACATTCTCAGGAAGGTGAATCAGCCCCTGAGGATGCATAACCCTTTGGGTTAGGTTCTTGACATTGTGGAGCGGGCTCTGATTTTTACATTTATTTCAAAATTGACTTTACCCCATGTTGTCTCAGAAAATGCACGTATCCTCTGAATGCATTTTTTTTCTTTTTGGGTCACACCTGGCGATGCACAGGGGTTACTCCTGGCTCTGTACTCAGGAATCACTCCTGGCGGTGCTCAGGGAACCATATGGGATGCTGGGAATCAAACCCAGGTTGCCCCGTGCAAGGCAAACGCCCTCCCCACTGTGCTATCGCTCCAGCCCCCCTTCTGTATGCATTTTAAGAGATACTGAAGCAGCATGAGGTGAACCCTTCTTGGATGCTAATGAAGTGCCCTCCATCCCTTTCAGGGCTAAACTCAATCCAAAATTTCTTGCTCTGTAGAGTTTTACCAAATCCTTGTTTCTCCTCACACTATTGTGTGTCTTTTGGCTGTTTGGTACCTTCTGTACGCAGCATCGTGCCTGTACCTTCCACATTGCTCAGCCCCGAGTTAGGGTTTCCCAGATCAGTGCATGCCGGTATCTGTAGCTTGTTAATGATTCATTCCTCAGTGTGATGACTCACACCCCAGTGTAGCGATTCTCCTGCCCCAATGCTGTAGTTTGGAGCCCTATTAAAGAAGATAGAAAAACAATAGGGCTCTGCCTATTGTCGACTTAGACAAAAAGCAAGAGGTTATTTCACCAATAAAACGGGTCTATTTGCACGCAGCAGCCAGAAGGCAATGTGGGAAGGGCAGTCTCCCAGCGAGAACACCCCCCCCCCCCCCCGCTTGTCTGGACCAAATCTTGCATCCTATCCGGGAACCCTGGAAAGCTGTGGCGGGAACAGTTCCTGCTTTCTTCTGCTGGGGCAGGGGAGCAGCTTGCTTTCCCCTCGACATGCAGGCGTGCTGGATCCTGTAGTGTGCTTATCGCTGGTGCGTGGGAACCCCTCCAGCCACCCAGCCTCATTTAAATAGCGTTTCTATGAGCCACTGGGAGAGCACAGGGATGATGGTGCTTGCCTGCCAGTGGGCACACCCTGGTTCAATTGCAGGCATGGAACTAGGGCCCGCGGTACCGCCCGGAGTGATCCTGGAACACAGAGCCAGGAGAAGCACTGTTGGGTGTGACCCAACTCATCCTTCCCCTAAATAGCATTTCTGTGTATGAAGTTTTACATCTCCCCAGATTCATCAAGGTCTATCTCTCTCTGAACAAGTTTTTGATGGCGCATCAGGTTTATTCTCGATTCAGACTCCTTTTTGTGAGCAAGGACCTTTCTTAGGTCATTCTCACATTGGGGGTGTTTTGTTTTTGAGTCACACCCAGCGATGCTCTGGGGGTTACTCCTGGCTCTGTACACAGGGATTGCTCCTGGCAGTGCTTGAACTTTGGTCAGGGTAGGGTAAATGTCCTCCCTGCTGTGCTAGTGCTCCAGCCCCGATGTGTTAGGAACTTCTTGAAGTCACCTTAGAGTTGAAGGAGTTGAAAGAAAGATGCTGTTGGCGCTTGTTATCGAGGTCTGTGACCTATTAGGAGGTGACATTTGGGAAAGAGTCTCATTGTGGATTAGCCTTACCTTAGGGTCCCTATAAACGGCACATAGACCCCTCAGGAATTGGTGATTTCTGTAGACATGTCCCATGAATTGAAGTGTCTGCTTCCCGTGAACTTTGGTGGCATCATGTACCGTTTGCACTTGATCGAGATGCTTCCTGGGGGGCTGTCATCTTTCTGGAGGTGTCTTTTCAGGAGATGGAATCATTAGGTGGCCTGGGAGTTGTTTAAAGTCTTTATTTCCTTGGAAGGGTTCTGTGAACACGTCATTCAACTTGCTCCACAAGACCACAACAGTTTTTGATAGAAGCATCTTAGGCTTCTCCAATGCTGATGTGTCTCTTCTGTAGCCAGCTCTGACTCAAAAGAGGCAAGGGCGAGGTGCGTTGGGCACCTTGGGACTGTCTCCAAGGGAGAGAGTTTATGAGTATGAAAGGGATAGACCTAAGATTTAGAAGGCCCTAAGTCAAGGGTTTTGGGTCAAGTGTTTTGAAGGTTGTCAACACGTTTGACCAATGAAGTTCTGTTTTGTTTTCACATAATATTTTTTGATGCATTGAATGAAACCAGAGGACTTGGGATGGTGAGCACAAGTGAAAATGTGAAACTGGCCAAATGGCATAAACTTGGAAACGAATTCCATGATCATTGTGGATCTCTGGAGGGGCTCCCCAGGCAGGGATGATTTTTCCAGAAGAACTGGGACCACTGAAGAGGGAACTGCCTGTTCACCAGGCAAGGCCGTGCCAAGTCAGAAAACATACAGACTGTGACTAAAACTTGGATATTTATGAGATTGGGGCAACCGTATAAAATCCAATTACCACACTTCCAATGACACATTATGCAATTAAAATGTTCTGGAGCATTAGGAACAGGCTTTTTTGGATTGGATTTGGGACAGGTGGGACAAGTTAGGTCAGCACTGTTTGCAGCCTTATTACTATTTCCCCATCGATATTGATCCATCAGTGCCATTGTTTTCATGACGGGCCAAAGGATTAATTCATATAAGGAGGTCAGGAGTGACCATTATAGAGACTGTAGCACAAGCAAGTTGTTACTTGGTTCAAACTGTACCAAATCTTCAAAAAGATTTCTTTGTATGTCACGCTGACAGTTGTTCAACTTTCTTTTTTTTTTTTAATTTTTATTAGTGAAACACCATGAGGCACAGTTGTAGACTTACAAATTTTTGTGCTTGGATTTCAATTATACAATGATCAAGTACCCATCCCTCCACCAGTGCCCATTTCCCACCACCACAGGTCCCAGTATCCCTCCCGCCCCCCATCCCCCCCGTCCCACCCTGCCTCTGTGGCAGGATATTCCCCCTTGTTCTCTCTCTCTTCTTTTGGGTACTGTGTTTTGCAAGAGAGGCTTTGAGTGGCAATCATGTTTGGTCTGTTGTCTACTTTCAGCATGCTTCTCCCATCCTGGGAGGATCCTCCCAACACCCTTTATTTGGTGCTCCCTTCTCTATCTGAGCTGCCTTTACCCCTAGAGTGTGTGGCTGGCCTCCAAGCCATGGAGTAAACCTCCTGGTATTTATCTTGGCTATTCTTGGATGTTAGTCTCCTATTTTGTTACTTTATGTTCCCCAGATGAATGCAATCTTTCTATGTCTGTCCGTCTCTTTCTGACTCATTTCGCTTAGCATGATACTTTCCATGTACCACTTGTATGTAATACCACTTGTATGTAAATTTCATGACTTCATCCTTTCTAACAGCTACATAATACTCCACAGTTGTTCAACTTTCAATCTTCTTTTTCTGGGGCCAACCATTGGGATTCTGTAGCCAGTTCTCCTAGGTTAACATTCAGGAAAATGGCTCTTTGAACCATGACACGAGTCAGCAGCCTTTGGTTCCTGGAACTGTCAGCAGGGAGATTCCTGTGGCTTCCAGAGAGTCCACTTTAGAATACCCTGAAATCTTAATAATAGCGAAGGCAGCAGTAAGCATACAGCATCTACTGATTCCCAAACCCAGAAGCCACCTAACTTCCTCACCTCTGGAAGTTATGAAACCATGTTGCTTCCCCAACATTCCAAAGCCCTGGACTTCTCCACTGCCACTTGTCCTGTAAGTGTTGGTAGTTTTGTCCTTGGCTGGAGCACGGATACAGGATCTCAACATTCACGAGACGGTGTCAGTCTCTCTCTCTCTCTCTCTCTCTCTCTCTCTGTTGTACCAATTTGACTTGCCTTGCACGAGGCCGACTGGCCCACCCGGGTTCGATTCCTCCACCCCTCTCCGAGAGCCCAGCA